AATGGGAGAAAATACTTGCAAATAATAGCAACCAACAGGGACGTTAATTTCCAAAGTACACAGACAGCTCATACACCTTAATATCAAAAAAACAAGCAACCCAATCAAAACTTGGACAGAAGGCCTCAATAGACATTTCTCCAAAGAAGATATTCAGATGGCCAACAAGTACATGAAAAGATGCTTAGCATCACTAATTGTCAGAGAAATGCAAATCAATACAATGGGTTATCACCTCACACCAGCCAGAATGATCATCATCAAAAAGTCCACAAAAGATGAATGCTGGAGAGGGTGTGGAGAAAAAGGAACCCTCCTACACTGTTGGTGGGAATGTGTGCAGCCACTATGAAGGACAGGGTGCAAATTCCTTAAAAAACTAAAAATAGACTTACCACATGATCCAGCAATCCCGCTCCTGGGCATATACCCGGAGAAAAATATAATTCAAAAAGACACATGCAATCCAATGTTCATAGCAGCACTATTTACAATAGCCAAGACATGGGAAAAAACTCAAATGCCATCAACAGATGACTGAGTAAAGAAGGTGTAGTGAATATATGTATATGTGTGCATATATATTTATAATGGAACATCACTCAGCCATAAAAAAGAATAAAATAATGCCATTTGCAGCAACATGGATGGCTCTGGAGATCGTCATTCTAAGTGAAGTGAGCCAGAAATGCCATATGATACCATTTACATGTGGAATCTAGGAAAAAAGGATACAAATGAACTACTTATTATTTATAACTTAGATGACTGATTTCTTGAATATATGTAAGCATATCTGACTGTCCCTTATTATTGGATTACCGCATTTTGTTGATTCTTATTTTGTGGTTGGCTTTATTCCTTTGATAACTATGTAAGTTTAATAAGCTAAAGTTCTAAACTGTTCTTAGAAACAATGAACAGTACATATCTGTAAAGTTTGAAACGGTTTTATCTCTCAGTGAGTTGCTCTTCCTAGGATAAACTTTGTTTACCTTCCCCAAATCAATCAATCAGTCAATCAACAAACACTGATAAGGCTTTATCAGCAGCTTCTCTGGGAGTACACTAAAGAGTCAAGCTACAACCAGGTTTTTAAAAATTCCACTAATTAAAGGACATCACTCAGAAATGAGGAAAAAAAGGGGAGCTTTTTTTGGGCAGTATTGTGACATAATATAACACAGAAGAATGATTACATAGCTACCTCACCATTTATTTCTAAATATATACTATAAATACGATGGACTGCAAATAATAATTGTGACATCAGTGAGTGATAACAAAAAGAAAATTCAACTTTAAAATTTTAGAACTGTTTTTTACATTTAAAAAAATTTTACATTTTGTGAATGCCAGCCAGCTCACAAGACAAATAAAAAAGTGATTTGGGGACAATGACAGGTTAGAGTTTTTCATTTAATTATAGTGCGATGAAATGATACACAAAGTGAAGGAAATTTAAGGTCCTGTCTGGAACAATATTTCATCTTTCTGACTCCACTTAATATCAGGCTTAACACATTAAAAACATTATTGTGTTGGCACAGTGCGGTCTAGTCAGTGACATCTACACATGTGCCATCTGGGAAGGGGGACACCTTCCCAGGTAGATCTTTATTCATACCTGACACTCACAGCAATGACAAAAAACAGTTTAAATACAAACATATGAGTGTGATTAAAAATAAAAGGGAGGCAATGATAAATACAACATGTGGGACAAGATCACTCCAGGGAGGGAGGGGTCAGAAGACGGGGCAGAGGAAAAACAGAGAAGCAAATATGTGTTAGAGGTGACATCCTGGTCCTGGGCTGCGTGGTGAGTTCATGGGCAAATAAACAAGAAGGCCGTGACCCAAACCAATTCTAAGCACCTGAAGGCCAGTAATAAATACATAAATAAATAAATGTGTGTGTGCGGGACTGTGTGCACGTGCGCGCGTGCATGTGTGTGGAAAGAGAGAAATAGGATATATTTTCCCAATTTAGAGCCCGTTTGATGAGGATGGGGCCATCACCTTACACAGCCCTTCTCAACTTTTCCCACCAAAGCATTTTTATTAACACAGGAGAGTGAACTGCTGAAATCAGAGAGCATAGCCTGAACTACTGGAAGCAAGAGTCCCAAGTTTTCTACTAACAATTCATGTGACACGTGGTCCACTAGCTCGGACACATCCCAGCTACTTGCAGTGAGAGCCAGTGGTGCCTGTGGTGTAGCTGGTGCACATGGTGACCTGTTTACAGCATCCTGTTGATTAAACCTCCAAGCCTATGACTCGGCGACTCTACACCATGAAGCTGTCTTGAAATTTGTGCGCTGACCCCCAATTTGATCAAATTACGTATAAAATTCTTTTTAGAAGAAATGGTTTATTAGCAAGGAAGAAAACTATTATAGGACAGTTGTAAGACTAGCCTTAGGTGTTAAGATTTTATTTTTTATACTTGGGACAGCTCAACTGTCAGTGGGTATTTAGACTCCTGGACATCAGAATGGAGTGTTGGTTGTCAGGTTGTTTTAACAGTAATTCATCTTCAGAGTTTTTACTTCAACATCTAGAAAAGGGTTCATTTTCTTACTCCAAACCAGTTAAATATTCTGGGTGAAACATGTCACTGATTTGCCTATGACCTTTTGGAAAAGTTGTTGTTTTGTTAAAATACCATACCTATTAACCTGAATTTGCACTGATTGTGTTTTAGTGTATTTAAAAATGATGAACTCAGTTTCTGAAATTAAACTTTTTATTTGCAATTTTCTAAAAAAAGAAGAAAAAAACAACTCATTGGACAAATATTCATAAAAGTCTTATTCATAATAACCTAAAAGTGAAAACAACCCAAATGTCCATCAACTGGCAATGGATAAACAAAATGTGGTCTCTACATACAGTGGAATATTATTCAGCCATCAAAAGGAGTGATATAGGGTACAACATGGATGGACACTAAGATAAAGAAGCCAGACACAAAGGGTACATACCA